AGTAGTAGTAGTATATATATATATATATATATATATATATATCTCAGTATTCAGACCAATTATCTTTTCCTATTCTTTCGTAATTATCTATTCCAATTATCTTTTTGTGCCTAAAATAATTAGTGCCTAAAAATATTAAAAATTTTTGCAATATTATCATTACGCTTCAGTGTCATATAATACCTTTGATGAATCAGTAAAATTATTTTTAAATCTAATGAAATTTTTAGATAATTCAGTAAAAACGTTATTCTTTCAAGTAAAGTAAGTGAATGAAAATCGATAAAATATTTAATTTATGAGAATTTATGAGAAATACTAAATATACATATGATGCACTGTTTACGTCAAAACTAATCATACAAAAACTATAAGCTATTACTGGTTACAGTGGCACGTTTATAAGTCACGTCTACCGAATCTTCTACGCGCTCGAGAAAGCGATTGCGGCGAAGGGCGATTCTCCGCCAGAGACTTGCTCCCTTTCGTTCTCCGGCTGCTTCACCTGCTCGGACGACCGTTTTTTCTTCTTACTGCAGAACGCTCAACTTCCCGCAAAAATGCTCGGGGCAGTCGTGTTCACGACAATTGTCCTGCAGTCTCATTGGTGCGCGCATTTATAAGATCAAAACCATCTATTCTTCAGTGTACTTTTCCGAAAAAATATTATTCTAACATTCGCTGCACCCTCAAACCAGAACTATAGAACGACAGATTAAATAGAACGACAGACCTTTTCTGTTTACTTAACACTTATGTGTATGGTGTCAAGTTCAATCTAACATTTTATCGAAATGCTATTTGCAAAAAACTAAATAAAACAATCGCAAGAAACTTTTAAGCGAAATCTGATATGTAAAAATGGAAATTATTTTTTATCTGTATAATATTTCTAATATAAAATCTATTTCTCAAATCGATTATTAATCCTTAAAATTAATAATTTCTTAAGATATATAGAAAACGATTTTAAATAAAAATAAAAATAGGAAAGAAAGGAAACTTGTGGGGCGACGACGAAGAAGTAATTTCCGCGCTTGCTCAGGCGCATCGACATAATCTGGAAGAAAGCTGGGCGGAAAAAAGATCGTCTCGAGTCCCGACGCGGCACGCTTAAATCGCGATCGTGATCATTCTATGCATCATGCTACTTAGAAAAAAGGCAAAAGGTACGGCGCGCGCGCGCGCGCGCGCTACCACCGGGTGATCCGCTTGGCATAATCCGTTGGACGGTTTCGTACGAGAGAACGAGGTGGTGGCGAGGAGGATACACGTGGACAGCGCGCCAGAGGAGGAGCGCGAGCGAGCGCTGTCGCGCGTGCGACGAGGACGCCGCTATGCGAAATTCGCGCCATTTTTACTGCGCAGCCCGCACGGCGCACCAATCAGATTTGAATTCAAACGTCTGGTGGAAGGGAACACCGGACCTCGTGGCTTCGCTCAAACGGATACGAGGTGGCCGACTCCCGGATCAGAATTGGTCTGACTGTGGAATGGTGAGGATCGAGGATCGATTGGTCTTGGAGTCGGCCGGCGCGAGTCGTGCGAGCCCGCAAGAAACGATCAGTCTTCTTTCCAGGAGGAAACTTCACAGAAAAGTCGAGCGGACTAAAGAGATTTACGCAGCCGAGGACTCGTCCGCTTCTCCGGAACACTCCGATCGGAGGAACCAGAGGAGGATCGACGCCCACGACACTCGGTACTCGAAACAAAGAGGCGCGCGGGCAGCAGGCTGAGGCTGGAAAGCGAAAGTTTCCGGAAATTCGCTCGCTCGACTACGCAACGTACGGTGGCAACACAAGAGGATCCCGAGATGCTGGCAGCCTCGATTTGTCACGAGTTCTACTACACGGTGTTGCCCAGCACGATCATGAGTACCTCGCAAGTACCACGCTGCCTCTTCGGCCGGCCGAACTCGCGGGAGACCATGGAGATGCTCCAGGAGGCGCTGGACGAGGAGAGGAGCAAGTTCGCGAGGAGATGGGGAGTGGATCCCCGCTCCGAGGACAAGGAGAATAATTACCAGAGGCGGAACAACGAGACGAGGAGCGACCGGTCGCCCGGCAAAAAGCGGAGTAATCCGTATT